CAATGGAGGAGTTCTACTCTGTCTATAGGGTTGCTGTGAGTCAGAATAGAATTGATGGCAGTGAGCTTTTTTTTTTTTTTTTTTTTTTTTTAGGTGGGACATGGAGATATCAAGGGGCTCTGGTAACATATTGCCTAAGGCACTTGACTGCTAACCAGAAGGCTGGTGGTTCAAACCCACCAGCCACTCCTTTGAAGGAAGGTTGGGTAATCTATTTCCATAGTGATACTGCCTCGGAAACCCAAGGAGCGCTCGCTATGAGATGGGTCCAACTTGATGGCACATAACAACAACAACAACAATAGGGATATCATAGCTAACATCAGATGGATGTTGGCTAGAAACTAAGGATACTAGAAAAAAATGTATATCTTGTTTATTCACTATGCAAAAGCACTCAGCTGTGTGGGTCATAACAAATTATGAATATCATTGCACAAAATGGGAATTCCAGAACACGTAATTGTGTTCATGCAGCACTGGACCATAAGTCATTCGAACAAAATGAGAGAATATTTCATAGTTTAAAATTCATGAAGGTATGTGTCATTGTTCTATCCTTTCACCATACTTACTCAATTTGTATGCCAAACAAATAATCAAAGAAGATGGAATATATGAAGAAGAACATGGTATCAGGATTGAAGGTAGACTCATTAACAACCTGAGATATGGAGATGCCACAACCTTACTTGCTGAAAGGACTTGAAGCACTTGCTGATGAAGATCAAAGACTTCAGTATGGATTACACCTCAACATAAAGAAAAAAAAAAACCCTCACAACATTATGATAAATGGAGAAAATATTAAAATTGTGCCAAGAATTTCATTTTGCTTGCATCCACAATCAACACCCACAGAAGTAGCAGTCAAGAAATCAATGTGTGTATTTCATAGGGCAAATCTTCTGCTAAAGTCCTCTTTATAGTGTAGCAAGGAAACATGTCACTTGGAGGACTGAGGTGCACCTGATTCAAGCATGGCATTTTCAATTGCCTCATGTGCATGCAAGAGCTGGACAAGGACTAAGGAAGACAAAGAAGAATTGATACATTTGAATTAAGCTGTTTGCAAAGAATATTAAACATACTATGGACTGCCAGAAGAATGAACAAATCTGTCTTGGAAGAAGTAGAGGCAGAATGCTCCTTAGAAGTGAGGTTGACAAGACTTTGTTTCATGTACTTTGGACATACTATCAGGAGAGACCAGTCCTTGGAGAAGACATCATGCTTGGTAACTTAGATCGTTGGCCAAAAGGAGGAAGATCCTCAATGAGATGGATTGACACAGAGGCTGCAACAAAGGGCTCAAACAAAGCAACAATGTGAGGATGGTGCAGGACCCCACAGTGCTTTGTTCTATTGTCCACGGGCTTGCTATGAGTCTAAACTGACTCAACAGCACCTAACGACAACCAACAATAACGTGGGGCAAACTGTTTGCAGTTCACTGCTAACCTAAAGATTGGCAGTTCAAGCCAACCCTGGAATACTGCAGAAGAAAAGGCCTGGTAATCAATTATGATTATAGCTAAGAAAACTCTATGGAACAATTCTATTCCATGACACATTGGGTCACCGTGCGTTGAAATCAACTCGGTTGTAACCAACCACAAGTGGGATCCTTAAGAAGGGATAGTGTCATGTTAGCTTTCTGCATCCCTGATGTTTGGTAAATAATGACTGAATAATTGTAAATTTTTCTTGACAGGAAAATAAAGTTTCAGAGCATCTTCTTGGACAGCTCACATGCAGAGCTTGTGAATGAACAGTGGAGCTTTGGGAAAAATGAGAAGAGTTTGAAATATATCCAACGCTGCCTCCAGAATTTTCCAGGGTACAGTGTGCTAGGTCCAGAGGGGACTCCCATCTCCTGGGTTGTTATGGAGCAGTCTTGTGAGTTAAGGATGGGTTACACTGTCCCCAGATACCGGGGCCAAGGCTATATGAGGCAAATTAGTTCTCATTTTGGAAAGTTTCTTATTCAGAAAAACATCCCATTTTATCTACATGTAGCACACGATAATGAGAGTACCAAAAACATAACAAAAAATCTGGAGTTAAAAGTCTGCCCTTGTGGCTGGCATCAGTGGATATGTACCCCTCAGAAATATTGTTGATTAGCAGTGGTGCCCATTTCAAACTTTCCTTCACAGGGAAAGGAATCAATACAAACATGAACATAACAATCTACATGAGCACAAAATGCATCCTATTACCTGGGGCCTGTGCATCCCCTAAACCCACTCCCTAAATAACATTTGATCGTCACTCTCCTCCACATCCTTAAAAAATTAGAAGCTTGATCCTTTGTTTCTGTTGTTGTTGTTGTTGTTATGTGCCGTCGAGTAGGACCCAACTCATAGCAATCCCTCCTTGGGTTTCTGAGACAGTTATTACTACGGAAGTAAATTGTCCCATCTTCCTTCTGAGTGGCTGGTGGGTTTGAACCACCAGCCTTCTGGTTAGCAGTCAAATGCCTTGATCCTTTAGAGTTATACTTGTCTTCAGGGTGACAGACATCTCAGCATTAAAATCACTCAATGTTAATCATTGCTGCCAAGATAGCCTTTAAAAAGCAATAGCTCTTCCTTGAAGAAGACTTCTCCCATGAAAGAATTCAGCTTCTTCATGCTTCTGTGTTTGAAAATAAAAAGTCTGCTTTGAAAAGTCTCCTCTGGTGTCCTTCTCTTCCTCCCACAAGTTTTTCCAAGAATCCTTCAAAAGCCCTCAACATCATTGCCTTTGATACTCGGTTACCTCTAAGGTA